ATAACTTATGTTAATTTATTATAAAAATGAGGGGGACTGAAAAAAGAAACTGAACATGATTTTTTGTATTATCTACCAATGTTCTCATGAGATGAACTCTTTAGAATATATGTGTTCATATCAACGTTCTCCTATTTATAAGGAGATTTATAAGGAGATAATTTATATTTATATATTCTCCTATATATAATCTCACTGTGTAAATTTTTTTCGATTAGAATTCCACAATTATTAACAAAAAAAAATATATACAAAAGATAGTTTATGTAATTAAATCGAGGCTAACAAATATATATTTCTAAAATTATTCGAAATAAGGGAGCGTGCGAACGGAACGTGAAATAATTAATCACGGGTCGGAATCACGGAGCAAAATATTTTTCATCGAGAAATAAAGACACTGCGCGTGCGAGCTGGTACTCGAACAAACCATGGAGGCAGTTAGAGGAGAACAAAGGGTAGAGACAGCGGGAGGAACAGAAATGGAGTGCATTCCAGGTGCAACCTGATAAAGAGTGGTTGTTCGCCCCAGCACGATGCATTAGGTCGGTTTTCAACGTTTCATTTAGCCACCGATTTACGAGCAACCACTTGACCCAGATATGCTCGATGTACCTGGGTCCATTCATCCCCTCTCGGCCATCACGTTCAGCTAGTTTTTGGGTGCGAAACGCGTTTCCGCTCCGTCTTTCCCAACACATTAGTCTCCGCGCTATCACAGAGTCGGACACAACTGTTAACAATTGTCCAAGGAAATTCGAACTAGTGTCCTCGAGTGGCAATTCCGTTTGCCACAGGCCGCAAGTGTTCGTATCACTTTCCAGAATCATTTCTCAACAGTTCGCATTCATCGTACGATGGCTTTGTTTGCCCGTCGAATTTCGTCCGTATCAATTTCTTTTGTCTTTATTCGAGGAACGATAATCGATGATGCGCATTTATTTTTATCCTACTCGGTTCTCGTTCGCGGATCCACTATACTGCCATACAATGTGTCCCAGAATTATTGGCCACTTTTTAAAACGCAATAATTTCGTTTTTAACTGGACTAAATCAATTAAATTTGCTTAAAATGTTAGAGGAACTATACAATGACTAGAAAATACTTTTCGTTAAATTTTGTCTGTTGTAACGAATGCAAAATTTAACGAAGTATAAAACGTTTTATGGATGTTTGTAAACGCATAAATGTTTTAATTTTCAACTATTGGAATGGCTCGCGATTAAATGTAGAAACGAAGCGTTCGACGGACAGTTTTTTCTAAACCGATGTTTAACGTTTCCCTTTGGAACTACTAAAAACTTGTCTCCTTTCGAAAAATAATTGTCACGTGCGTCGAGCTTTTATTAATTACAACGTCCCGTCATGCATTAAGTTTCCACATCTGATGGTACAGCATCGAAAATCCCACACACCCGAATCAACAGATTTGAACAGATTTCAATGAATGCGATCCTGAACATTTGGCCGGCTCCCGTAAAGTATCGAATTATATTTCGATATTATTAATCCTCACTTCGTCACGAATTATTCGCTGATCCACTGCTTTTTCTGTATGACACTGAATAATGTTATTGGAGGTTTCATGCGAACATAAATTTTCGTGTAGGTCACTGGGCGTATCAACTAACCTGATCAAATTGAAACTCTCTGGCTAATACAACTACCGTCCATTAAAGGGTTAATTAATACTTTCCAAAGTGAAATTAAACGGGAACTTATTCAAAAATGAAAATTAGAAGTTCAACTGAATTTACTATTGAATCGCTGCATTATGGGAAGTTTCCACGGAGTATAATGAAATATTATAACCCACGGTCTCTTCTTCGGTCCATTCATTTTAATATAGTTTCAAGATTAAGTTTAATTGAAAGCTTCGTCATCGCTGGCCACGGCAGTCACTGTATTTATCGCAATTGCCTCGAATTAAGAAAATTTAGATTCTAGCCAGCTCGAACGGTTAACAAGCTTTTACTTCGTCCACTGAAATTATTGTGATCAACTTTCGCTTCTATATCTAGTGCAGCAATGATTGGTAGACAGAAATGTTAATTCTATTCGTTCGCACGAAATATTATTCCGTTCTTGATTTCATTTATTAGTAAATTATTGGGTCAATATTTCCTACATGCTTTCTAGAGATTGAAAATTACGAGTGACTAGATTACAAGTTTCATACGTTCATGAATGCCGTATGCGAAGTACGCGAAAACCGAGAAATAAAAGTTTTATAGGCACTTGAGAGTATTTTTATCTTCTTCGGTAAAGTAAAATTCTCAACGAAAACGTAGGCTTTTATTGGGCTTCTGTCGGAATAAATTATTCCGCGGAAATATAAAAGTATATGAAATCCTCAGTTGAATGAAAAACAGCTAAAAGTTGTCAAACAAATGTGCCCATAATTATGAAAGTGGTCTAAGTCAAAATTAAAAAAAAAATGAATTTATCACTTATTTCACACGACATGATTTTAAACTAAATTTATTCAATGTAATTTTTACGATATCGTCAAAAATGAACCTTTAGATAGTAGTTGTAATTACAACGTTATACGGAATTCATTTAGTGTTAATTATGAAAGTGGTCTAAGTCAAAATTAAAAAAAAAATGAATTTATCACTTATTTCACACGACATGATTTTAAACTAAATTTATTCAATGTAATTTTTACGATATCGTCAAAAATGAACCTTTAGATAGTAGTTGTAATTACAACGTTATACGGAATTCATTTAGTGTTAATTATGAAAGTGGTCTAAGTCAAAATTAAAAAAAAAATGAATTTATCACTTATTTCACACGACATGATTTTAAACTAAATTTATTCAATGTAATTTTTACGATATCGTCAAAAATGAACCTTTAGATAGTAGTTGTAATTACAACGTTATACGGAATTCATTTAGTGTTAATTATGAAAGTGGTCTAAGTCAAAATTAAAAAAAAAATGAATTTATCACTTATTTCACACGACATGATTTTAAACTAAATTTATTCAATGTAATTTTTACGATATCGTCAAAAATGAACCTTTAGATAGTAGTTGTAATTACAACGTTATACGGAATTCATTTAGTGTTAATTATGAAAGTGGTCTAAGTCAAAATTAAAAAAAAAATGAATTTATCACTTATTTCACACGACATGATTTTAAACTAAATTTATTCAATGTAATTTTTACGATATCGTCAAAAATGAACCTTTAGATAGTAGTTGTAATTACAACGTTATACGGAATTCATTTAGTGTTAATTATGAAAGTGGTCTAAGTCAAAATTAAAAAAAAAATGAATTTATCACTTATTTCACACGACATGATTTTAAACTAAATTTATTCAATGTAATTTTTACGATATCGTCAAAAATGAACCTTTAGATAGTAGTTGTAATTACAACGTTATACGGAATTCATTTAGTGTTAATTATGAAAGTGGTCTAAGTCAAAATTAAAAAAAAAATGAATTTATCACTTATTTCACACGACATGATTTTAAACTAAATTTATTCA